ATTGGTGGATTTAAAACCAACCAATCAGAGTGCTGTGACAGGTAAATGTAGAGACTTACCTGTCAGTCTCTTCATTTACCTGTCAGAGCACTCTGATTGGATGGCTTAAACCCACCAATTAGAGTGCTCTGAGCCTAATTGCAGGGCGGGGGAAGGCTTTATAAGCCTTCCCCCGCCCTGCAGAGCTCAGTCTGTGCAGAGCCCCCGCCGGGTGAAGATGGATTATTTGTTTTTGCGCTTTTTTTTTTTTTTAATTGCGCCGGTTATTATGGTTTTTTATTTGGCCTTTTTTGGGGCTGAAAAAAGAAGATTTAGAAGAAAGAAAACATCGAATGGTAAGTTGTTTTTTTTTCTTTTTACAGGTACTTAGTTAAAGGTGCCCCCCCTTATTATTTTTAGGGTGAGGGGGGTAGGTAGGGGGATAATGTTTTTTTTGGGGGGGGGAGGGGGTGACTAGGGGTTTGGGGACCCCTAGTCACCTGGGGGGTGGGGGGGAATTTTTTTTTAGGGCCCCCACCCGCCGCTCAGGGGTGGGGGCCGGGGGGGACAGAAGTTCCCCCCCTATTGTTTTTTTTAGGGACCCCACCCGCCGCTCAGGGGTGGGGGCCGGGGGGGACAGAAGTTCCCCCCCTATTGTTTTTTTTAGGGCCCCCACCCACCGCTCAGGGGTGGGGGCCGGGGGGAGGACAGTAGGTCCCCCTCCCCATATCATTGAGTTAACTTTGACAACCCCCCCCCCGCGCGGCGGGTGGGGGGGTTGTCAAAGTTAACTCAATGATATGGAATAGGCGGCGGACCGAACATCGCATATGTTCGCCCGCTGTGGCGAACGCGAACATGCGATGTTCGCCGGGAACTGTCCGCCAGCGAACTGTTCGGGACATCTCTAATGATAATACATTCATCGGGATAAGTTATAATTTTAGTCTTAAAAATGTACTATTTTTCCTGAAAACAAAATATCTGCCCATATTGAAGTCCTAGTGTAGTATGTATTGAAGGATAGAAATACAAGTATCTCACATTGTTGAAATAAAACTTTTAACATTTTTAATTTGATCATTGGTCTCTGCCAAAAAGTGATTTATTAATAATAACACTCGCTACTACAATAGGGAGAGCATGTGAGCAATATTAAGAAAATATTTTTTAAACCTACCATATCAACTGATTGTGCTTCCTATTATAATGCGGATGCTAAAATTTGGAGCTATTAGTAAAATAAATGAACATTGGATAAGATGAAATTAGAGTATTAAAGGGAAACTATAGTGCTAGGAAAAAAGTAGTTTTCCTAGCACTATAGCTCCCTATATTGCCCTCTCCCTTTCTATGATGAAGCAAGATTTAATTTCCTTCTCATGGACCTCAAGGTGTTTTTTTGTAAGCAATATTAGCAATGATATAGGAATACATTTGTTACAAAAGTGATAACTCTGATCTGGCTTAGACCCTGACAGTCTGTCAGTGATATTAGCAAAGGATTCACCCAGCAAGGTATAAGTGGAAAGACGTAAGCAATGCAAAGTGCAATGCTTTGTAATATGAGTTCGATATAGGGAAGCACCAGTCCTGAAATTTTCACATTTTTAAGAACCATGAGAGTTTTTCCCCTCCTCCTTGCCATATAATGATATGCATGTATGATGCATGTCAATGTCTTGTTTTGGTAATTGGCATGATAGAGCAAAATAAATAAGATATCTTGATGGCTAAGGTCTTATTCATTGCCTATACTTTGTAATATGGTCCTCCTTTTAACCATTTCAATTTATAATTTGCAGCATGGAGTGGTTCCTCAATTGAGGGCAAAGAGAGATTAAATAACAAGCACAGTTTCTTGATTAACCTGAAGATTTTAAAATGATTCATATTTGGCAAGAATGTAGCAGGTTTGGCAAAGAGGTATGTGAGCAGAGAGTGTTAAAGAATGTCATCTTCAGAGAGAGATAGCTCTTACTATCTAAGATAACAAAGATATTAAGTCGCCATATGGGCAGGTGGAATTCCCCCCAAAAAACGTACCCTAAAAACACACTGACACTAACGTATGGGTCAATATGTCCACAGCTTTATTAATATTGATAACAATAAATAAAAGTAATTGCCCAGCCCCCATTCCACCATATAAGATCATATGTCCTTGAAACAAAAGGCAATGACCCATCATTTCCTTAAATATAAATAACATAAGCAACAGTAATAACAAACATCATAAACATAATATAAGTGTCAAACTTTGTTAACCACGGTAGGGGTATACTTGGATACCCCTTTCACCTACCAGGTTCTGAGCCACCACCACGCTCGAAAACTTCCAAGGTTCGTAACGAACAGTTTAACCAAGCTCTTCACCAGCAGCCTAACTGCCCTATTCTATTTACACTACCCCAGAACCTGTTTGTCCCTAACTTTTCTCTCTCTATCCCCGCTACAAGCTCAGACCTTGATCCGTTAAGCCGTCTGAGTTCCGCCACCCCTAAGGAACAAAGCCCTACTCAATCCTTCTTGGAACCCTAGATTCAAAAGATCCCACCCTACGTCCATGAGGTGGACCCCGTCCTGCCTAAAATACCCAGTCAAATTGTCCTCGAGCGCTCTGTGCTTAATCACCCCCCCCCCCGACCTTTCTAACAAAGCTGGCCATTAGGCGATTCACTTTACCCCGGCAGCGCTCGAAAGCGTCCGTATGCCTGGCATGACCCCACTGAAGTCGGGGAACCATTTTGGACCAGATGACCAAAACCCCAGGGACCAAGTCCCGTAGCCAGTTAATGTCCTGCTTCATCCATTTTATGAAGCGTCTTTGGGACACCAGGCCCAAATCATTGCCCCCTGCATGTAACAGCAGAAAATCAGGAGACCTTCTCCTTTCCATGAGCCTAAA